AACATTTACCGAAAATTATCGGCTCCTGACATGTAGCCAGCAGTGATCTTCCGAAAAATAAAATCTTAAAAACCTGTGCGATCACAAATTCCTTTTTGGATGGATTGCTAATTGACACAAATTGAGACCTAGCTGCTAATCTTATCTCAGAGGAAGCCCCCACTCCCATTATATAGCAAAGTAAGGATTCTGAATTTTCCCCGTATTGTCTCCGTGGCTCCCCATACTGCCCATGTTCATGTTGGTCCTTTCTAGGAATTGACACGATGAAACAATGGATGTCTTCTCAAACATCCTCTCTGTTTGGACCTTCTACAAACATACTGTGTCTCCATCCCTCAGATATCTTTTTCTGTTCGCAGATTAAACAATCTACGGAAAACTGGGGCAAACAGCTCCCAAAAACTCTAATTTTCAGCAACTGTGTTTGGCCAAGGCTAAAACTCTAAAGCCTTTATCTTCATGTTATAGGCACTTTTACAACTTCTCTTTTTACCAATTCTCTAATTTAACAGATTCTCACATTTTGCAGATTCTCTCCATTTGCGATTTCTCTCGGTTTACAGAATCTACTGTTTAACAGATTCTCTTAATATACAGATTTTCTGTTTTCAGATCCCCTCATTTTCCAGATTCTCTTGGCTTCCAGATTATCCCAGGTTGCAGATTCTCTAATTTTACAGATTTATAGTAATGGCAGAAACAGTATACAGGGAGTGCAGAATTATTAGGCAAATGAGTATTTTGACCACATCATCCTCTTTATGCATGTTGTCTTACTCCAAGCTGTATAGGCTCGAAAGCCTACTACCAATTAAGCATATTAGGTGATGTGCATCTCTGTAATGAGAAGGGGTGTGGTCTAATGACATCAACACCCTATATCAGGTGTGCATAATTATTAGGCAACTTCCTTTCCTTTGGCAAAATGGGTCAAAAGAAGGACTTGACAGGCTCAGAAAAGTCAAAAATAGTGAGATATCTTGCAGAGGGATGCAGCACTCTTAAAATTGCAAAGCTTCTGAAGCGTGATCATCGAACAATCAAGCGTTTCATTCAAAATAGTCAACAGGGTCGCAAGAAGCGTGTGGAAAAACCAAGGCGCAAAATAACTGCCCATGAACTGAGAAAAGTCAAGCGTGCAGCTGCCACGATGCCACTTGCCACCAGTTTGGCCATATTTCAGAGCTGCAACATCACTGGAGTGCCCAAAAGCACAAGGTGTGCAATACTCAGAGACATGGCCAAGGTAAGAAAGGCTGAAAGACGACCACCACTGAACAAGACACACAAGCTGAAACGTCAAGACTGGGCCAAGAAATATCTCAAGACTGATTTTTCTAAGGTTTTATGGACTGATGAAATGAGAGTGAGTCTTGATGGGCCAGATGGATGGGCCCGTGGCTGGATTGGTAAAGGGCAGAGAGCTCCAGTCCGACTCAGACGCCAGCAAGGTGGAGGTGGAGTACTGGTTTGGGCTGGTATCATCAAAGATGAGCTTGTGGGGCCTTTTCGGGTTGAGGATGGAGTCAAGCTCAACTCCCAGTCCTACTGCCAGTTCCTGGAAGACACCTTCTTCAAGCAGTGGTACAGGAAGAAGTCTGCATCCTTCAAGAAAAACATGATTTTCATGCAGGACAATGCTCCATCACACGCGTCCAAGTACTCCACAGCGTGGCTGGCAAGAAAGGGTATAAAAGAAGAAAATCTAATGACATGGCCTCCTTGTTCACCTGATCTGAACCCCATTGAGAACCTGTGGTCCATCATCAAATGTGAGATTTACAAGGAGGGAAAACAGTACACCTCTCTGAACAGTGTCTGGGAGGCTGTGGTTGCTGCTGCACGCAATGTTGATGGTGAACAGATCAAAACACTGACAGAATCCATGGATGGCAGGCTTTTGAGTGTCCTTGCAAAGAAAGGTGGCTATATTGGTCACTGATTTGTTTTTGTTTTGTTTTTGAATGTCAGAAATGTATATTTGTGAATGTTGAGATGTTATATTGGTTTCACTGGTAATAATAAATAATTGAAATGGGTATATATTTGTTTTTTGTTAAGTTGCCTAATAATTATGCACAGTAATAGTCACCTGCACACACAGATATCCCCCTAACATAGCTATAACTAAAAACAAACTAAAAACTACTTCCAAAAATATTCAGCTTTGATATTAATGAGTTTTTTGGGTTCATTGAGAACATGGTTGTTGTTCAATAATAAAATTAATCCTCAAAAATACAACTTGCCTAATAATTCTGCACTCCCTGTAGTAACAGCAGAGACTGTAACGGCAGAGACTGTATTATAACGGCAGAGACTGTAACGGCAGAGACTGTACTGGCAGAGACTGTACTGGCAGAGACTGTAACGGCAGAGACTGTATTATAACAGCAGAGACTGTAACGGCAGAGACTGTACTGGCAGAGACTGTAACGGCAGAGATTGTATTATAATGGCAGAGACTGTACTGGCAGAGACTGTATTGTAACGGCAGAGACTGTATTATAACGGCAGAGACTGTAACGGCAGAGAGTGTATAGTAATGGCAGAGACTGTATTATAACGGCAGAGACTGTACCGGCAGAGACTGTAACGGCAGAGACTGTATAGTAACGGCAGAGACTGTACCGGCAGAGACTGTAACGGCAGAGACTGTAACAGCAGAGAGTGTATAGCAATGGCAGAGACTATAGTAATGGCAGAGACTGTAACGGCAGAGACTGTACCGGCAGAGACTGTAATGGCAGAGAGTGTATAGTAACGGCAGAGCGTGTATAGTAATGGCAGAGACTGTAACGGCAGAGAGTGTATAGTAACGGCATAGACTGTAACGGCAGAGACTGTAACGGCAAAGAGTGTATAGTAACGGCAGAGACTGTATTATAACGGCAAAGAATGTAACGGCAGAGACTGTACCGGCAGAGACTGTAACGGCAGAGACTGTTACGGCAGAGACTGTAACGGCAGAGACTGTATTATAACGGCAGAGAGTGTATTGTAACAGCAGAGACTGTATTATAATGGCAGAGACTGTATTATAACAGCAGAGACTGTACCGGCAGAGACTGTATTATAACAGCAGAGACTGTACCGGCAGAGAGTGTATTATAACAGTAGAGACTGTAATGGCAGAGACTGTATTATAACGTCAGAGACTGTACCGGCAGAGAGTGTAACATAAGGATTTGATTGAATTGATTTAGGAGGCTAGTGTGTATCTAGAACTTTGGGATCAACAGATAAAGTTCCAGGTTTAGGGACTACAAGACTCACAATCCTTAGTTATCGTTACCCTTGCTCTCTGCTAGTAGACCTTGATGATTGAAAGGAGTAAGTCAGTGTGTAGTCGAGCTGCCTCTTGTACCCTCTCTAGACAACCAGACTCTGGCCAAGGCATACCCTCCATGAGCCGGCAGATCATATCCGCTCACTGATGGAGCGGGATTATCTCAAAGTGTTCAGAAGATTCATTTTAAACAGAAAGCTGAGGCAGTAAATAATTTAAAGATAGCGGCAGTTGTTCCGCTGTTTATCTGTCACTTGTCTTTTCAGTCTGCCTGGCAGCGATACCCTCACCCACTGCTCCAACATTTTATCCTCCCTGACGTCGGCAGACATTCTGTGCATCTCTTTGCTGCTGGTTTATGTCTCTATTAGCAATTGATGATGCTCACATGTGGTTCTTCAAACACAAGAAAACATAAGAGGATAAAGAAATAGAACTTCTAAAAATAAAATAAAAGGATCAGTTTCTTTTTACCCTGCGGGAAAGAAAAGCGTGTTTTTTGGAAAGCAATTTATAATGTGTCCTGGTAATGTGAAGCAGTCTATTTGTACCTTATAAGCGTATTTACCAAGTAAGATTAATTAGGACAGTAATAAATTGTCACATGGCGTCTCAATAACACTCCACTAGGAAATCTCCCCGGGCTATAAATGTCTGATACCCACCGTGTCAGTTATATCCTCCCCGGGCTATAAATGTCTGATACCCACCGTGTCAGTTATATCCTCCCCGGGCTATAAATGTCTGATACCCACCGTGTCAGTTATATCCTCCCCGGGCTATAAATGTCTGATACCCACCGTGTCTGTTATATCCTCCCCGGGCTATAAATGTCTGATACCCACCGTGTCAGTTATATCCTCCCCGGGCTATAAATGTCTGATACCTACTGTGTCAGTTATATCCTCCCCGGGCTATAAATGTCTGATACCCACTGTGTCAGTTATATCCTCCCCGGGCTATAAATGTCTGATACCCACTGTGTCAGTTATATCCTCCCCGGGCTATAAATGTCTGATACCCACTGTGTCAGTTATATCCTCCCCGGGGTATAAATGTCTTATACCCACTCTCTCAGTTATATCCTCCCCGGGCTATAAATGTCTGATACCCACTGTGTCAGTTATATCCTCCCCGGGCTATAAATGTCTGATACCCATTGTGTCAGTTATATCCTCCCCGGGCTATAAATATCTTTTGCCCACTGTGTCAGTGATATCCTCCCCGGGCTATAAATGTCTGATACCCACTGTGTCAGTTATATCCTCCCCAGGCTATAAATGTCTGATACCCACTGTGTCAGTTATATCCTCCCCGAGCTATAAATATCTTATACCCACTGTGTTAGTTATATCCTCCCCGGGCTATAAATGTCTGATACCCACTGTGTCAGTTATGTCTTCCCCGGGCTATAAATGTCTGATACCCACCCCATAAAAGAAAATCGCCAAGTAATCCACAGATTAATAAATCGCTGGTATCGCCAAATAATCACATGAGCCAAGGCTTAATCCTGGAACAAGTCTGATTTACTGAGAAACAGGGCACACAATTTATACGGTACATAACTCCTCCTCTGTGCCAGACTAGAGAATTGGGTTTGAGCACTTATCAAACTCAATTATCTAGTGGCCAGAAAAGTTTAAATTTTTCACAATTATTATAAACATACTTCATACTTTATGTATAACATATCAAATATGGGTAGCTGAGGGTGATGTGAGCAACATATCCAAATTTCGTGAGCATCCGTTCAGTAGTTTTGGAGTTATACCGTGTGGAAGTTTGACCGGCTCGCCACGAGGTTGTAGCCAACTCAGAGTTCCATGAAATCAGTGTTGCGAGCCAGTCTTTGTTCGGATGAAAATTACACAAAAAACCCCACAGATGTAATGTAGCTGGTTACATGAGAGTGCTCCCCTCGTTCGGTAGATTGAAACTCCCGAACGCCATTGGTGTACAATTCGTGGAAATGGGTCAGACGGGACTTCCATGGGGACCGGGGATTGCTGGTGAGCCATGCCAAAAATAGTTCCAGGTGCTCAACGCCTAAGTCCTGCTGGCCGGCCGTTTAAGATGGCCACCCAGGAGCACTCAATGTGTCTACATAATGGGGAAGCTAGTGCTCTAGAGAATAGGGAGTTAAAAGAGAAAATTACATATTAGATTCCTTTGTTTCACATCCCCACTATATGTAATTTTCTCTTTTAACTCCCTATTCTCTAGAGCACTAGCTTCCCCATTATGTAGACACATTTTAGCATGATTATGCTATTGGCTGTCTTGCGGTGACATGACTGCAAGCAACACAATAACCCTTCGTTTTTATAATTACACTATACATTAATTTGTGCATTCCCTACTTATTATTTTACATGTTTTATATGTCCTTTTGTTTTATTACCCCTATGAAGCTTCATTTATATCAGAATCATTGTTTTATCATCTATATGCTGCACTATTAATTTATGCATAAATTATGACGTCATTTTGGAGCCAATTTTGAAATTGTTAATGTATTGAGAGGTTATTTAAACCATTGTGAACCAGGTCTCTGTTTCTTATTGCCAGTTGAAAAAGCCCTGTGTGGCGAAACGCGTTTTGGCTATTTTATATATATTTTTTACATTTTATCAATAAAGGATTATTGGCCTATATTCTACCTTTTATCTTTGATAATACACTTTTTTTATTTTCTATTTACTATATTTTATTTATTTATTATTTTCTGGACCTGGTTATTATTACTTTACGTTCAAGAATCCCAGGTGGGGATGATACCACCTACGCCATATTAGTGAGCAGTATTTCCTGCTCACTTAAATGTGAGTATTTTATACACATTTTACTACTTTTTAAGTATCTATTCATACAGTGAGCACTATTCTGTGTTATCCTCTTCTTTCCCGAGGATTTCAGCCACGTATATACGTCTACATCCCACCAGTGGGGGACCAGTACCACTGAATGCGAAGCACACCCGAGCTAGTTTTAGCTCTAATATAGGTGAGTGTGATACCTTTTAACTCTGCATTTCTACAAAGAAGCGGAAAAGACTATCTATACCATTGGAGCTTTTATCTTGTTTTCTCTTGCATATTGGCACCTGGAACAAGACGTCACATCCATTTCCCTAATCCTACAAGGACTGTTTCTTTCCCTCAAGCGGACTTGATTATCCCTTGCTTATTTTAGGACTTTTCATCTATCCTTCTTTGTATGTACTGCTATTTGTAAGTACTTATCACATCATCTACATGTATTTTACCTGTTTTATATGTATAGATTTAAATTTTTATTGATTGCTGTATTACAATTTTTTGATTTTGCTATATTTACTTTTTGGCGCGACCTAATACTCCTTTTAGATTCTCTATTTATATTTCTTGCTTATGACTATAGGATTTTGGTTACTTCTACTTTATACACATCTGTATTATAGAAGCTACTGCTACTTTCTTGATGTAAAAACAAGAAAGGAGGTTAGCGCTAATAATAAAAAGGTGGATGGGCAGCGGCCTAGCAGAGGGTAACCCTCTAACCCTTTATAGTAAGAATGGAAAACAACAACAACAGCGCCAAAATGTATCAATGTGGACTACAAATAGTAAAAAGACATAAAAATAAAACTTCTAAAAGTTCAAAATAAAATAAAATATCGAAAATAGTCCAAAAAGATTTTAGAAGTTGCACTGTGGCAATAGATGTCTTACAAGGTGCTTTTGGTGATGGGGTCTCTTCTCTGTTTATAGTAGTCCAGTTGGTCTCGTGATATGGAAGACACAAGATAAGAGACCAATCGTATAGAGTGTAAGGGTCAATATATGTGAGATAAAGATATAAATATTCCACTCACATTTAAATGAGCTATAGCCAGCTCAGGTATAACAGGCGTACAGCGGAACAATCCCCGCTTATGGGATATTATTTATTTATTTATAAAATATTTTACCAGGAAAGATACATTGAGATTTCTCTCGTTTTCAAGTATGTCCTGGGTGGATATATGGATGATTGTCCTCTGGAGGGAATGGTGTCCAACTCCCAGGAAAAGGGATATATAAAAACAACTAATAGTGCTCTCTGTTTAACACGGTATAAAAGTTGTTTAAATAAATAAAATTGTACTTACAAGTATAGTGCAGGCCAACTGCACTACGGTAACAGCGTTGGTGGTATGATCCCCACCTCGGATAGGCTTGTAAACACGTGGAAAAATCAATTAGATGCCAGGTGAAAATAAATACAATAGTGTGTACTAAGATAGTTGGCACAGATAGTAACCAAAAAATCTTCTTTAATTATCTAAAATACACAATTAATAAAACCATTTACGCGTTTCGCCACTAGGGCTTTTTCAAAATGGGATAACATTAAAAACCTGGCTGATAGGAGTATATATAGGTACATAATAAGTTACAAATTGGCGCCAAAAAACTTCATTTATCAATAGCCAATAGAATCAGAGTTGTATTTCACATATATTGTAAGTGACAATAAAAAGGTTTACATTAAAAGTAACATTATATAGGGTCTCATGCCTTTAAAATTGTTTAAAAACAAGGTCTATAAACTTAGGAATGTTTAGTTTAAGCGCGTCACGTGACTCGCGTGAAACATGCTTTGCATGTTGGGAAATGTAGTGCACGAGTCACGTGACCGGCGCATTCATTAGTGGGAGTGTGAAGCGAGCGATATAGCTCGTGACATTATGGGGAATGAGGTTCGCTAGACTGGAAGTGGTCATGCGGTTCGTGGCACTTTGCCGCTTGGGATATGTAATGCTGAGTGAATCGGCAAGTGCGGCCGCCGCTCTGGTGGGCGGTGCACACGTGGTGAGGGGCGGGCTTTATTTAGTGGCTATGATGGGCACTTTTTTTTCCTCATGGGACATGTAGTGCTGAATACATCAGCAGGTGTGACCGCCATTATAATGGGCGGTATGCACATATTAAGGGGCAGGGCTCTGTTTTATGAAAAACAGCATATAAAATAAATCGGAGGAGGATGTTAAGAAATAAGAGTGGGCTGAGAGATGGTAGTAGCCATATTAACTGTGGTCATACATGCTATTTTTTATATATAATATATACTGATATATAAAAGTAAAGAAGATAGTTAAAAGTAGAGTTAGGGACATATATTTAAAGGGAAAGTGTCAACCTTTTGAAAAATCAATCAAAGTATGTGGTAGGAAATTGACCCATACCTTTAGAGTATATACTTGTAGATAAGTTGTTAGGAGATAGGGAATAGGGTTTTAAGTATAGATTAGTTTTTAAATTTGTGAATATATAGAAAGCATTATAATGGTGTATATGCAGAGGTTGACATAATGTGGTCATATTGGGGGCATTCTAGACTATAATGCCGTAGGTAACAACTATGAATAGGATAGCCCCAAGATGACAGCATAAACAGTATATATAATTAATACAAGGGCATATAATAAATACATGAGACATATTATAAATTGTTAAAAGTATGTGACCAAAAACGTATAGCAGCTGGATGGAAATAAGACATTAGAAGGACTTGTTTAAATATATAAACTTAAAATAACTTAAAATATTTATACATGAACACTTATATAAAACACTTATAACAATTGCTTTTTTTTATTAATTATTATAAGAAATTCTATAGATCGAAATCTACATTTAGATCTTGGGGAGCTTGGTTAAAGACCCACTCCATTTCAGATCTGCCTAAAATATTTTTTATGTTTCCACCTCTCCAAGGAACCTTACATTTTTTGATTCCAATGCATTTAAGGAGTTTTGGGTCTTGGTTATGGTTGATAAAGTGCTTAGATACGGAATGGTTTTGTTATCCGTTTTTAATATTAGTGTTCTCCTAATCTTGTCTTTAGGCACCTTGTGGTCATACCTACGTATTGGAGGCCACATGGTCACTCCAATAGGTAGATTACATTTTTGTGTTGCATCCGATAAAATCTCTAATAGTGTAACTTTTATTGGTTCTATTTGATTTAAAACTGGTGACCTTAGATTGAGTAGAGGGGTCGGTACTTCTACAAACAATGCAGCGCTTGCATTTGTAAAAACCTTTTACTCCTTCTAAAAAGTATGGTTAGTGCAAACAAACAAGGACTATGGGCCATGTAACCAACCTTTTAAAGACTTGGTTTGTGTGGTTTCCTTTTTTTAGTTCGGGAAGAAAAACAAGCACACAAATTGCTGACCACCTTTGGTCTCATTAACTTCTATTGACCTCGCCTGACACCTCAACATTCTAAATGACTGGCTGGGTGGCCGCTGTTCGCATGCACGTACACGTGGGAACTGAGTTGGTGGCCATTTTGTCGCACGAACACAGGCAGCGGTGTTTGGTTGTCGAGTGCATGGAACAAAGATCAGACACTTTAACTCGCAAACACCTGCTTAATTTCTACTCATATCAGGAGAGTGCCGTTCTGTAAGATTGTTCGCATGAACTAGTCGAACAATCGCTACCTAGGTGCAGGAGGATGAGTTCAGTATTTCACTCGGTTTTGGACTTCCGAAGTGACTTACCACTACCACTTTTCTTAAGTTAAAAGTTTTCCTCAATGGAAAATCCAAACCACTAAACCGATCTGAGTGCTTTTTGGATATGATAGACACTCAGATCAGGGCTATCTGGGGATGTGACTGTTGAGGGGGTTCCATGTATTTTGGGGGTAATTTTGGGGTGTTGAATTTTTTATTAATACTTTTCTGTACAGTTCCTGTCTCAATTATCTCTCAGGCACAGGGGAGGAGTCTACTGTGTGTATAATTTGGCAAGACCCCAGCCAAGCTGCGACGGCTAGTGGCTGGAAGTGAGTCCTTATGGTGTCCCGGTGCAGTGATTATGGTACTCAGTGATTACTAGGAAGCGTGCTTGGCGGAGGTACCCAGTCGGGGTACCTGATGGTCCGCACAAAGAGTACCATTAGATAATAAGACAGAGAGTATACTATGCCCCCCACTCTTAGAAGAGTAATTTTGGATAATTAGACCTCACTATTAGATTATCCTTATATAAGAGAGTATACAATGCCCAACTATTTTATTTATGTTAAATAACACCGTCTCCTTCTCAGGCGCCATTGTAACAATATATTCTAGATTATTCGCTTCACCTGTCAGTAATATAATGTTGTGGTTGATCAGTGTATATGAACATATGATGTAAGTATATGGTTTCATTTTGCTTTGTGGCGGAGCCTGTAAATTGCCATGGCCCAGAGGCCCACGGTCTGCTGTTTTATGATATTAGTGCCTAAATGTTTCCCCATATGATTTGGTCCTATGTACTAATTTGCATGTATTGAATGTTGGATGTGCCTTCTCCCTCACCCTTTTCCTGTATTATTGTTCTCCCAACTGGGCATTGTCCCATTGTTCCAGGGACACATCCAGACCAGTTCAAAATGACTGCCCTGCCACTCCTTTATATCTCCAATGTGGTCCTCAGCCCTTGTTATTGTCTGTCCCCGTCCTACCTGGTAATGACAGGGCTTCATTACCAGGTACTACTATTGGTTAATTTGGGATCGGTGGTGTATTTTGAAATGGTGCTGCCCTAGGCATGGCAGATCTCGGGCACCCCCTAATTTAAATTTACCTGCCCCTTTCTGCCAAGGCCACACCTCTTCCTGTTAATTAACACACATTTTCATTGATAGACACACTCACGGACCAGCACACGCTCTCAGATACACTGACATATACACATATACACACATACACTCACTGATTTAACACAATCTGACAGACACATACAATCATTCAGACACACATAAGCAGTGACAGATGCACCCACTTACTGACAGACACACACGCACAATCACTCAGACACACACATTCATTGACAGACACAAACTCCCTGACAGACACACACACTCACGCAATGACACACACACATTCACTGACACACACTCACAATCACTGACACACACAATAATTGACACACAAACTCACTGACAGACACACACACATTCACTGACACACACTCAAATTCAGACACACTCACTCACATTCACTGACACACACACACTCACATTTACTGACAAACACACACATTTCCCCCAACACTCACAATTATTATTTTTTTTAAATTTAAATCCACCCAGCCTCCCTACTTTTGGGAGCGCTAAGTGAATTTTTACCTGGGGTCCAGTGGGGCTGCTGTCCAGGAAGGTAGGAAGGCGGGCGGATGTGCAGGCAGGCTGGCAGGCAGCCACACTATCATCGAGG